GAATACAAATCAGTTCTACTTGATTTTTGATGATGATGACGCAAATTACTCATTTTTTTTTATTTTCATATTTTCATAGAGGTCGTGGTGACAAAGGGAATGATATACGCTGGCGTATTTCAAATATCCCATTTGTTATTCAATGCAAAACTTGAGAAGTACAAAAAAATAGGTATGTTTTAATGAAATTTAAATGAAAATTTATAATATCTAATGAATCTAATTTAATAAAATTTCTAAAATTTCAGGATCATTTGTCGTACGAGAGATGGATGAGGTGCTCTTCTGATAACCAGACAGGACAATCGGTATCGTGGTGGCCTTTTCGAAGGATAGTTTTCTCGTGAAGGCAAAAGTTCTAGATTTAGACGCGTGGTAAGTTGCTTCGTGGCATAAAAAAAAAATGATCTTGATTTTTTGATGATGACGACGCACTTGCTCATTTTTGTATTTTTATATTTTTATAGAAGCGTGGTGACAAAGGGATAGATATACTCTGGCGTATTTCAAATATTCCATTTGTTATTCAATGTAAAAACTTGAGAAGTAAGAAAAAATTGGTATATTTTAGTGAAATTTAATGAAATTTTATTATATTTAATGATTATCATTAATAAATTTCTAAAATCACAGGTCCTTACGTCGTCCGTGTCAGCCAGCAAGAAATTCGTGATGGCCTTCTCGAAGGAATAGTTATTCCTTGTGCTATAGAGGATGTCCTCACCGATAGTGCGAAATTATATTAATATTGTAAATATTTTTGTAATTTCCTATGCAATAAAATCTAACCTGGATACTATCGTGCTGCTTTAATGCAAATCTGCTTCGGAATTGTTTCTTTCGTATACATTCATAATGTTGTTGGATAATCCAATTATCGTTTCACGTGACTTTTTTTCATCGTGATGGATTGCTTATAACAATCGTGAATTTGTCTTTTTGTTTTAAGATTTCTAATCCCATATCCAAATCACACTAAAATAAAATAAATATATAAAAGGTTATCTATTTAAGTAAGCCTGGGTAAACATCATCGCGCTAAAAATTTTATGTTGTGTTGATTTCCATGCCATGAAACGTCAGGATATGGAAAGCATCGAATCTTCGATTTTTTATAAGAATATAATTTTAGGAGATTTTTATTTGATGTGATAATTAATATAAAATAAATCATGTGATTTGAACAATTTATTGCTTAGTGAATTCATTTTATAAACTTGAATTACAAAGTCAGACGTGACTGTATTTGTATATTTATGATAAAATTTGGTTATTCAACAAATGCCGATTTACCTGAAAAAACTAATATAAAGAAAGTTAATGTTAAATTAAGACCGAATCGATATAGTAAAATAAACATAATAACTTTATTTAATTATCATTAAATGATAATAATATTTGATATCAATTCAGCATCATTTATACTTACATGTATAGAGTTTCTATAAAAAAATTAAAGAAAATTATTTTATAAATTATTTAAATTATTTAAATATTTTTTTTATTAAATTATATTTTAATATATTTATTTACTTAAGTTTTCATAAACATTAAAATTATTTTATAAAAATATATAATTGTATTAATTTTGTAATTGTTTAAATTTAAAGTCTATAAATTATTAATATTGAATATAATATATAAGTTATAATATAACTTATACTCTTTTGATTATATATGAAATTGAAAATACTTTAATTAAAAAATTAAATTAAAAAGATGAAATATTTAAAATCATATCAATTACATACATTACCCTTAGAAAATTATCTGGTCAATCTTTTCTTAAATTTCTCAAGATTAGACATATTAACTAACTAAAATATTTCTTTAAAAAATCCTCTAATTTTGAATTTATATATAAATGCTATAATCACTGAAACTCTGTTTATATAAATTATCAATGCTTTTTGAGTTCAATAACTTTAACAAAAGCTGTACTTTCTTGAATTTGCCACTCATCTTCAAAAGGATTTTATTTTTATAAATTAATTTTTATTTATCCAAAAATCTATATATGTAATTATTTTTGTTTATTTTATATCATCCAAATATTAATTATATTAAATTCATCATTTCATTAATTTTCTTTATTTTCATTTTCATCATTTAGCATCATATTTTCCTATATAATCTTAATATTCTAAGTCAGTCATTTATTTCCATTATTCATCTTCTTTTTTTTAAACTCTATTTGATTATTTTCTTATAATTCATATTCTTTTTATTTTCTTCATATACCATTTTCTTACTTTCTATATATTTTAAATTTCTGTTATTTTGGTTTATTAATTTTATTAATAAGAAAATTAATAAATATTTGAATATCATTTAATAATAACTTATCTGTAACTTTAACATTTTAATAAAATAGTTATATAAGTATTATTATGTTAATTTATTACAATCAACTCTTATTATAATAAACTCTATATCCTAGATCTCAACTTTGCTATAAGGCTATAGTGAAGATTTTAAGAGATTTGATTGACCAATTCGCTATAACAATAGTATTTTTATTATATTTGTTCAAAAATTTGTTATATCAAGAGTTTGCTTTAATAAGAATTGACTATATTTATTAGAATAAAATTTATTATATTTATAACTCATTAATTAATTATTTATAAATTAATAATTATATTAAGAATTAAGCAAACTTATTATTCTTTTTTAAGTATTAAATTTATGTATAAGCTCTCTCTTTATTATTATATAATAGGATTATATAGATAATTAAATAATATCAATTATAGTTTTTTTAATTTACAATATTAAATACTAGAAGTACTATTAATAGATTATATTATATTAATAGAAAAAATTGAGATAATCAGTCTGCTGAGATTAAAGATTAGAAATAATCAAAATAAATTGATTAATTAATTGATTAAGTTAGTTAATTGATTAAAGTACCTTAAAAATTGATTAATCAATTAAACTAACTGATTAATTTAACTGATTAATTGATTAATTTAATTAGTTAAAAATGCAAGTTATCTTAAAATAGTATTTCAATAAGTTATTTTTAATTAAATCAATTTTGTAAAAGAAAAATTAGCTAAATTGATTTTAGTTTTAAAATAGACTTTTATTTTATATTACACATATTATTGTAATTATTATAAAGAATTTAATATGAATAATAATAAATTGAATGATAATTTTTTCAAATATATTGATTATAGAGATATTAAAAATACTTTATCTAGATTATCAAAGACTGCATCTTCCACTACAATTTCTAAAAGGTTATCATTATTGAAATCAACCAGTAATCAATTAGCAAATAATTAAAATTATCTTTTAAGTCTGAAAAGAGCTTTGTATAAAAGTATTTTGAATGGATTAATAATAAAAAGTCTGATATACAATAAAAATGAGAAGGAAGAACCATGTAATATGATCAATTTCTTTAAGAAAATTTTATAATTGGTTAAGTTTTTCTTGTAATTCTAATATAAAAAATAATGTGTAAAAAAAGCAAAAAAATAGTATAATCATAATATAAATATTTATCATATTATTATGATTGAATGTAATTCTGACTAAAATCTTCTTAACTCTGCATGTAAATCATTTTTAATAATTACAATTAGTTTTTTTAAAGATCATTTGCCAGGCTATTACAATATTAGAATATTAAGATGCTAAGTTATTAGAACACCAGACTATCAAGATATCAGATTATCAAGGTGCTAATATAACAAATATTTAAGATTTCAGACTGGCTTAATTAATATTTTTTATATATATTGAGCTGAAAATCCTAAAACAACTCAATATTCTATGCTCACCTTTAATATATTTCTTTAAATATATTTTTTTTGTAATTCTTCTTTATACACCTTCACAATAATTTCAATTTTTGCTATTTTAACTTTATAATTTCATATATATAACATCATTTATTATTTTCTTTTAATATCTGATTTTTAGTATTTTATAATTTGATTTTTTATGTAATAATTTCATAATTTACATAATCTTAATTAATTAAAATTTAGTATTTAACATTTATAGAATTTAAATATTAATCAAGTATTAATGTAAAGTATTAACGTTAAGGCAACACTAATTGATTTGATATTATTAATAAATATTTATCACAATTACTTCATTTTTATTTAATAATTATTCATTAATACCTTCTGCTTACATTACAAAATTATTTATAAATATATAAACAAAAGAACAAAATATAATAATAGATAACTTATTTAAAATTTTTGTAGTTTAAATTTTACTTTATATAAAATTTAATATAGATTTTAAATTATATAAAATTAGTATTATTAATTTAATAATAAATTTGACAAAATTTCTTCAAGATTTAAACTTTAAAATAAATATAAAATTATAATTTTAGAATTTATAATTGATAAATTATAGTTTTTTTAAAAATAATCATTTATATTTATTTATAAAGAAAGTTATTTTAAATGTAACAAAATATAATATTTAGTACAGTAAAAATACTTGATATAAAATTATTTAACTAAAATAATTTAATTTTAAATAGATATTTTATTAAAAAAAATAATTTATTTAATAAGATTAACTTAACAGTTATTTTAATCAGATAAACTTAGTAAGTTAATTTGTAAAAATAATGTAATTAAAAAAAAAATATAGAGTAATAAGTCTAAATTAAAAATATCAAAAGAAAAAATACAAAAACTGAAAATAGAAAATAAAAATAGAAGGAGAAAAATGCAACAAATTATATTTATATATAAAAATTTAGAAATACCTTTAAGGTTGATTGTTTAAACTCATTTTAGATTTAGCAAAATGTCTAAACTATTATTTTGCTAATCTTTTATTAAGGTTTTAATATAGTTTCGCATTTTTATAAATTTTGATATACAGTTAAAGCTGATTATAATGAACCTTTTTATAATGAATGCTAAATATAATGAACTCACAATTTTTAAATTTAATAATAGTTCATTATAAAAAGTATAATAGTTTATAAAAAAAGCATAGTAATTTATATAATAAACTTTTTTTTAATAGAACTGTCAGTTCATTATAAAGAGCGTTAACTGTAGTTTTACCTTTTTCAGAATTTCACAGAATTTTTAATAAGGTTTTAATATAATTTTACTAAATTTTACCTTTTTTATTTTAACAATTTACAAAATCTCTAGGTTTGTCTAGAATTTTAAATATCTCTAAAATTTACAATAAGCAATATATAAATAGAAATAATTATTTATTTATATAATTTAAAATAAACTATTTACGACATATTGATTAATGATGATTATTACACAAAATTTTCTTTTTTTTACTATATTTATTATTTATATTTCTATAAAATTAGTTAAAAAAAAAGAATTAACAGATTTTAAACATAGTAAAGTTATCATTTTTTATGAAGTTGGTAATTCTAAAAGGGATATTTCAAAAAAAATGTGTTATAACAAAACTACAATACATAATATAATAATAAAATATTATAAGAAGAATGCTATTTTCATTATTTACAATAGTAAATATCCAAAAAAAGTAACTGAATGAGACAAATATTATTTTAAAACTATTATTATCAAAACTAATATGAATCTGTTAAAAAAATAAAGAAATTTTATTAAGTTTACTAAAAACATAATATATAAGCATATAGGTTGATTGCTAGAAAAATCAGATTCTAGAAATATTTTAGCAAAATTGAGATTTTTATTGTATTTTAGTTTTTGATGTTATTAAATTAAAATGTATTAAGCTCTTAATTTTAGTC